GTGATCAGTACCAAGATGCAGAAGGCTACTTTGGTGTAAAGTAGTTGCAGACTTGAAGTAATTGAGATTGTAATCTGAATAGGTTGCCCTTGAGGCCCATACTCTTGATAGATAACTTTGGGAAACTGGTTGTAAATTGCTTTCTGGAATCCATCCATTCATCCGTTCATCCATCCATCCATCCATCCATCCATCCATCCATCCATCCACCCACCCACCCACCCATACCTAACCCTAACCCTAACCCTAACCCTAATCCTAATCCTAATCCTAATCCTAATCCTAATCCTAATCCTAATCCTAATCACCCTGTTTAGGGTGACCCGCTCCCTGCTCCATCAGGAAGCGCGGGAGGACCCCTTGGAGGGAAGAGCCGAGGACTTTGTTCAATATCTGCATGACAAAATCATTCAGATTCAGGAAGATCTGGACTCCGACTGGGTAGGTCCAGCGAGGGTGACGGAGGCAGGTCTTGAGAATGTTATCTGGGACGAGTTTAATCCTGTGACCCCAGATTACGTGGACAGGATTCTGGGTAGATTGAACACGACCACGTTTGTTGGACCAGTGTCCCTCCTGGTTAGTACTGGCTTCCCAGGAGGTGATGCGAGGCTGGTTCCAGGGGATTATAAATGCTTCATTGGGTGAGGGTGCCTTCCCCGCCGCCTTGAAGGAGGCGGTGGTGAGGCCTCTCCTCAAGAAGCTTTCCCTGGACCTGGCAGTATTGGCTAATTATTGTCCAGTCTGCAACCTTCGCTTCGTTGCGAAGGTTGTTGAGAGTGTGGTTGCGCGACAGCTTCTCCAGTACCTGGATGAAACGTTGTATCTAGATCCGTTCCAGTCAGGTTTCAGGCCTGGGTACAGCAGGGAAACGGCATTGGTCGCGTTGGTTGATGATCTCTGGAGGGCTCGGGACAGGGGTTGCTCCTCTGTCTTGGTCCTATTAGATCTCTCAGCAGCTTTTGATACCATCGACCATGGTATCATGCTGCACCGGTTGGAAGAATTGGGGGTGGGAGGCACCGTATTATGGTGGTTCTCCTCCTTTCTCTCCGACCGGTCGCAATCTGTGTTGACAGGGGGGCAGAGGTCGACCCCGAGGCCCCTCATATCTGGGGTGCCACAGGGATCGGTCCTCTCGCCCCTTTTGTTCAACATTTATGTAAAGCCGCTGGACGAGATCATCCGTGGTTTTGGGGTGAAGTACCATCAGTACGCTGACAACACCCAGCTGTACATCTCCACCCCGGACCACCCCAACGATGCCCTTGAAGTGATGTCCCGGTGCCTGGAGGCCGTACGGATCTGGATGGGGAGGAACAGGCTCAGGCTCAACCCATCCAAGACTGAGTGGCTGTGGTTTCTGACATCCCGATATAGTCATCTGGTGCCATCGCTGACTATTGGGGGCGAATCATTGGCCCCCACGGAAAGGGCTCACAACTTGGGTGTCCTCCTGGATTCACGGCTGTCTTTAGAAGAGCACTTGACAGCCGTGACCGGGAGGATTTTTCATCAGGTTCGCCTGATCAGCCAGTTGCGTCCCTTTCTAGATCAGGACTCCCTACACACAGTCACTCATGCCCTCGTCACCTCTCGTCTGGACTATTGTAACACTTTCTACATGGGGCTCCCCTTGAGGTGCACTCGGAGGCTCCAACTGGTGCAGAGTGCGGCCGTGCGGGTGGTTATGGGAGCAACGTGGAGCTCCCATGTAACACCTCTCCTGCGCGAGCTGCACTGGCTCCCGGTGGTCTTCCGAGTGCGCTTCAAGGTTCTGGTTACCACCTTTAAAGTGCTCCATGGTTTAGGACCTGGTTATCTACGGGACCGCCTGCTACCACCAATTGCCTCCCACCGGCCAGTATGCTCCCATAGAGAGGGGCTCCTCCAGGTGCCGTCGGCCAATGTCGACTGGCGGCCCCTAGGGGAAGAGCCTTCTCTGTGGGGGCACCTACGATCTGGAACAAGCTCCCCCCGGAGATACGGAGGGTCCTGGATCTGCGCACCTTCCATCGCGCGCTTAAAACGTTTTTATTTCATCAAGCTGGCCTGGCCTAAATCTTCTCCTTTTTTAAATTTAAATTTTAAATACAAATTTTAATTTGTTCAATTATGGGGTGTTTTAAAATTCAGCCAAATTATTTAATTCGTTTTAATTTATTTTAAATTTTGTATCTCTGTGTTTTATCTTCTGGCTGTTCACCGCCCTGAGTCCTTCGGGAGAAGGGCGGTATAGAAATTTAATAATAATAAAAAAATTCATGACAGACATTAAAATGTCCATCATTAACCTGGCCTTTTCTGTCTGATAAAATTCATAGCTGCTTTAAAATTTATATTAATTTTTGGAATCTTAAAGTTGGAAGATGCCATTTAGGTCCCAATGTTCAATCTCCATTTGGGGCATATATTTAAATGAAGGCTATGCTGATAGATGCCTAAAACATCTAGTGAAGGGATCCGACTACCACTCCACTCTCCCTGGAAAGCCGGTTCTTCTGTTGGCCTGCCCTTACTGTTCAGGCTTATTCGCTTAACTTTTGGTTGCAATCTCTCTTCCTGTAATATTAACCCATGTTTTATACTCTCAAACGAGAGAGGACCTATTTCAACAAACACTTATATGGAGACTTACAATACTTGAATTTGTTTTTCAAACATTTGTGAACAATGACAACACACTCAACTGCTCTATACATTTTTGGGTATATACCATTATGTAAGGGAATAAAGCCATTTGGATGAACTAATTTAAGAGGGTAATAAGTAATGCACAGTAATAGTGCACTGAAATCATTGTAGAAGACATGATGTTTGATAATTTACCAGTTTTGAGACATGATGGTTCCTTTTTGTTTTACTTCTCTGAAAGTCTGAGTTTATTGGAGGCTAACATTTCACTTCCCACCAAGGTTTGGAGGTCAGAGGTTTCTAAGGGCTGCAAAAACGGATTGAAGATGGATGTAGTTCAAGACAGTAAAAATTGTAGATTGGACAGTAACTGAATACTAAAAACCAGTTTATCAAAAATTATAACACACATTCCACCCTGAAAAGAAGCCTTTTTAAATATAATAATTTAGGAAAGGCCAGGTTCACCTATTTGGGGAAAGGCATGCCAGTCAAAGAGAATCCCCCAAATTTATGTAGCAGTGACGAATCTTCTCTTCCTGGTTTTGTCTAGTTATTTAGATCAAGGAAAACCCCCAGATTTAAGTTTATAGGAAGAATTAATACTTGGAATTCTCTCAAAGCGCCACACCCACCGCTTGCAGGTGTGAAACCAACAGGCTGGGAGGAAAATAGGACAAGCAACAAGTGGCTGTTTCTATGAATCATAGCCCTTGCCCAGCTGTTGGGCACAGTTGGCAATCCAATACCCACTTGACCCAGAATAGCTTTTTTTTTATTATTTATTTATTTGCCACACATCGTCTTTGGTGGCAGCTGCTGGCATATTTGTGACCCAAACCGATATTCATGAAATATTATGCACAGGCTGAAAGAAAACAAAGCTGCAGCTGCCATGACCTCCAGCTGGCTGGAGAACACGCCCTACTCATGCATTTTAAAATCCTCTGGTGCGTCTGACAGTTTCTACTTTGTAACTACAGGATTATGAAGCGGCCATGAAGGTTTATCCACCCACCCACCCCTTGGAAAAAAAATAAGCAAGGTTACTTTCAGTTACTCATTTTGGCATTCCAGAAAGTTAGATATTCCCACCCCCTCTTGAAACATGTAACTCTTCCCCCAACACCCCGGCGAAGTGTTCCACGCGGGGTGGGGGGAGAACCAGCACTACGATTCCCAGAATTCTCCTCTGGCATGGCCACTGACAACAGGTTGTATACGCAAGAAGGCTGCTGCGTGTGCCCGTTGGAGCAATTCCAGAGTCTCTCTCTCTCTCTCTCTCTTTTTTACGCCGATCCTTGCAGGCATTCTGGTGCCTCTCTATCCGTTTACATTCTGGTTGACGTGCAGGCATGTTTAAATCTCGATGCAAAGGGCATTTCTTAATAGTTTGCGTCTCTGCCTGGAGGGAACATTCAGGATATTAACCAAAGGTGCATAATATAATCGAAGGGACAGGAGGACGCCAGGCTGTGACCTGGATCGCAATGCATTTAGTTCCTTCTGAATGACGCCTTGATCCGTTAATTAGGAATTCTGGAATCTATGTATACGATTCTGTTCCATTCCTGAGAAATATGAAAATAAATGCCCAGATCTCAGCGCGCCTGGCCGTCGTCTAAACCGCAGAAGGAAGTCCTTCTCGCCTCCACGGCTACAGTGCACCTGCAGAGACGCTGCCACGTGATCGAGAAATTTGTATAATTCCAGATGCCGGAATTCCCCGCACCCCACTGATCGTAACTCCTGGTTATCCGAAAAGACTATTTTTATTATTATTATTATTATTATTATTATTATTATTATTATTATTATTTTGTCCCTGTGGTTTTGCTAAGCCACAGTGCGGCTTACTTGGTTTGGCTCATGGGCGGTGAATCTGGATCACAAGCCTGGAAAATCCACGAGCGCAGCAGTGTCATCTAGCTAACCCCGGTTTATTCTGCACGCGCGTAGCTCAGCGCAAGGTGCGACCACGAGGCCCGTTGGTGGGGCGTTTGGAGCAATAGGCTTACCCCGAAATACCCACGCGTGTAAGTAAGGGGATCAGAAATTCCCGCGTTTAGCTTCCCTAGCACGGGAGAAGCGAAAACGCCAGCAGTGAGCAAATACTGGAAAAACCCGATTGATCCAAAGGAAGAAGGCAAACGAGCGGGGGCGGACGGAGGTCCCGCCGGTATTTGTGAAACACCCGATCGGCAGCGTTTAAAGTCAACGTGGAAAATAAGGCGCGTCGTTCAACCTCCCTCCCCCTGGCCTCCAGGTTAAAGAGAAGAGTTGCTGGGCTGCCTTTGCTTTCGGGCAAGCGAGGGTTAAAACGTGGAAGGCGTCTCTGGGCTGCCCCAGAGGTTGGCCCTTGCCGCCGCCTCCTCCTCCTCCTCCCGAGCGGACTGAAAGCAGCTGGGGCTGAGAATCGAAGCCAAGCGGAGCCGAAGCCACCTCGATTCGCGTTGTTTTCTGAGCCCGCGAGGCTAGCCAGGGCGCTTTCATTGCACGGCGGGGCTTCTGTCTCAGGTAACGCCGGGCGTCGTTGTTGCCCCTGAGTGGAGGGCGATTCTGGGCTGTAGGATTGCGGGGCTTCGTGGTTTTGAGGGGAATGGGTGGGGGGGGGGGGCGGCGGGGGGGGGGGGGACCCGCGAAGTGCCTGCCCTTGCTGGCCGCCGCTGCTTCCGATGGCGTGGGGTGGGGGGCTTATCTGGATCGAGGGAGAGTCTCCCCTTCAGTTTCCTCCTAAAGGATCTTTCGTCGCTTTTGCCTTTTCCGTACATCTTCCCTCCGTTAAAATTCCCCCTCCCCTTATTATTTTCGACTGGATAGATCTCGTGTCTGAGCATTCCCACATGACGATGGATCTGCCCCCCCCGCCCCCGAGCAGAGTTTTTTCTCCCAGTTCTTTTTTTTTTTTTTCCTGCGCGCTGAAGGCATCCAAGGATTGTGTAGGGCAATGATTTATGTTTCGAGGGAACTGGGGATGAGAGAGAGGAGGGGGGGGGAGAAGGGCCACGTCTCCACTACGAAGAGCCAGCTTGACAACTGATTTAAAAAAAAAAAAAAAAAAAAAACAATCCGGAGGCCTGTTCTTGGGTCTTCGCTTGGTCCTTTTGCCTATTCCCGAGGATCCGAAGCTCGATTATTTATAATTTATTGGGTAGGGCAATAGACTGTTTCTTCAGGGAAGAAGGAAGGAGGTAGGAGGAAGAGAAAAGCCCCCCCCTCCCCGAATAGTTTTCAGGTTGGGTTGTTTTGGCTCTGCTTCTGCTTCTGCTTCTCTGGACAATAGTGGCAAGACAAGCAGAAGTTCAGTAGGTGAAGACTGTTCCTGGCATGAGGGGCATTGCTAGGAAATGGTTCCACTTGAGAAAAAAAGGGATTTTCCAGGTAAACAGCACCGGTTTGAAGAAAGGCTGGTGGGAACTCCCTCCCTCCTAAGGGAAACTGGTGGGTTCCTTTTACACTAAACCTCTTCCTTGACCAGCAATAGCCTTTGGAAGCTGTCTGGCTGTTACTCAGAGTGTAAGAAGGGAGTGGGTTCAGTGATTGTCAGAAAAGCTCTCCCAGAAAAGCAAGCACCCCCCCCCACACACACACTCTCTTTGCTCTTTGAGCATGAAAACTGAAGTCCAGCAAATTGCCAAATTGCTGAAGCCAAAGTATTGTCTTGTTGCTTTCTCCAGTGGTGAATGAAAAGCAAGCAAGTCAGTTTTGAAGCCATCATATGTTAAATAGGCTTTTGAGTTTCACACCCTCCTTCTGAAGGTAAAACAGCTGATTGGGAGTGAGAGGCAAACCACTAATAAAGAACAAGGTGCTCCTTTTTACTGCCAACTGAGAAGGGCAGGGAGCTTCCCTCTGCCCAAGGCTGGAAATTCCCAGGTTTCTCTCTCTACTCCTGGCTGAGCGAGGAGGGAGGCAAACAGTAGATAGTTGTGTTTGCTTGCTCACTCTCTGTGGCATCTCAGTATGGAGAATGACTTCTGCATTCTGTAGCCATCTCATCCTGCTTATACCCTCTGTAGGCAGGGCATTTTAGAGGCTAGGTCATCACAGAAGTAGCCATCTGGCCTTTGGAACTATGTGCTAAGCTCAAATTGTCCAGCCCTCCTTATTATCACTTGAAAAGGTGAGTCATCAGGTAGAATGCTTAGTTTAACATGGAGGGAGAGTGAGCAACTAAGCAACCCATTACTTCTTTCCCGTCATTTTTCTACTAAGCTTTTTACTTCCTTGTCTAAAGAGAAAGACTGAGCATGCAGATATTCCAGTTTTCCGAACTTGCTGGTGTTATGTCAGATATTAATTACCCATCATTCAACAGGGATGATGGGAGTTTTAGTGCAGCACACCTGGAAAGCACTGCATTGGGGGAAGAATGGGAGAGGGGAGAGGGAAAGTGAGGTAAGCAATTGCTGAACAACGGTACTATTGCTTCCTCAAGTCCTACTGAGAAGGTCAGAGAATCTCATAAGGACTGAGCAAATGTATAGATGTGACAGCTTTCTTTTTGAAAGAGCAGTTGTTTTGCTCACTATCCTATCACTTTGAATAATACAGTAGGAAAGATTTGGACCCCTGGGTAGAATCTCTTCTGCTATCTCAGAACACAAGATAATAAGGTTGAAAGGGACCTTGGAGGTCTTCTACCAGTGAGAAAATGGTTGTTTCTTTAGTGGCCAACCTTTTGCGTTTTGTTGCCTGCCTGGTTCACAGAAGCTAAATCAGGATTGCTTGATTCACTGAAGTTTCCAATTCATAAACCAGAGATTGAGATTTCAAAACCAGCTACTGTAGTTGATAAAAATTAAATCAAAAGTAAGTAATCTTATACAGTTTCACACAACATGTCAACACTGTGAGATAGGATTCCCATATGCTAAGATTAAGTTAGTTTAGCTGTTTTTTTGATAGACGCCTCAATGTTGTTTGATTTTTGGCACTGTGTGATGTAACAACCTAGTCAGGATTGGTAAATCATGGTTTGTGTATAAATAAAATTATTACTGTATGTTCAAAACATTATGGTTAAAATAAAGGATGGTTTAATATGTAAAACAGCTTCCATGTGACAGAAAGTTCTAGGTATTTGGAGTAAGAGGTAATAAATGAGAAAATGAATCTGGAGGGCCAAATCTACATGCTACACTGCCCAGAATAAAGCAAATCAAATGTACAACAGAGGCTGTTTGCTTCTTGGCTCTACACCAGACCTGCCATATTGGGCCTGCAAAGTTCTGAAACAACTTGGATTCCACTGATGCTGGAAACTATTTGTTGCCACCTAGTGGTCTTCTACATTTTTGCTTTGTTTGTTGAATCACTTCATTTTTTGTCTTCAGAGAACTGGAGGATCTTGGGAAACTGGATGGGCAAAGGAAATTCCAAGGTTTGATGAAAGGTCTTGCTCTTGCTTTCTTTTTCAACTTCCATCTTTTTTGGGGGGGGGGTGTTGGAGGAAGAGAGAGGAGTAACAATTACAGTCATTTCCCCAGTTGCCTCTCTTTCTTTCAGGATAAAAGTGTACCCATTTGATTAAGCGTTTGCTGTCATGTATGGTTGGGCCCTCAGGAGTGTGTACGTATGTGTGGAGAGAGTTAGTGGGTTATTTTGCCATAGAGTTGGTAAATGCAGTCAATCTTCAGATTGTAGACTGATGGTACTGGTACCAGGCTGAAAGTTCATAAGACATAATTGCCATAATAGCTGGCTGTTGGAAGTCTGAGGATATTTGGAGAGGGGTGAAAAATATTCCCTGAAATTCATCATTTTAGATGTAGGGGTGGGGTTGGGGGATTGTATGTAATCAGTTGAAGAGGAAAAATGAGCAAAGGGGCCTGGCCTTAAAACTATATTACTAAAAAAGCCTTAGGTGTGACACAGAAGATGTATGTTGAGGCACGTATCCCGGAAAATCTCCACCTGCCCTGACTTCCAAGCTTGTCTCAGCTAGTGGTGTCTCCTGGTGATACATTGAATTTGTCTGACAATCGTATTTTGCTAATGAAGTGGCCTAATGTACCTAATGAGCCTATTTGGCCTAGGTTTGTGTGCCATTTGTAATTGGGAGGTATGAAGAAATTGAGGCTCTCCAAAATTGGGTCTCCCATATAGAGATTTGTTAGGGGCTGCACTATTCTGATTGGTCCCCTAGGACAGAACTTTGTTATGGTCATTATTTATCACAACAACTGAAGGAGTGGTTTATAAATTTCCTAAAAAGGCAGTTTTCTCAAGGGAAGTTTCACTTGTTCAGAGCGATAAACCAATTAAGTTGGGCAAATAATTGTATGTGTTGGTACATTTTGTAGTCAAATATGATAGTTCTCCTGGCCCAATTTGAGTCAGCTCTAAGATTTTCCTGATCCATCTTGATCAAAATGTTGGTGATTAGGTGCTTAATGGATTATAGTCCTATGTAACTATAGCTCAGAAAAGGATGTCATTGCGTTGATGTAGCTGGGGATCTTTTTCAGGTTGCTTAGGAGAGTATTTTGTCATATTTAAAATTTGGGATAAAATTGAAATTTTTGCTAGGCCAGGAATATTTTAAAAATATAAATAAATGGATTCTTCTGCAAGAATGAGAAGAATTGGCAGATGATATCAAGAAATTAGGATTTACTTCCTAAAATATAACTCTTGTCTTCCTCTAAAATTTGTTACTTCCCCTCCTGTTCTCATCCTGTGGAATAGAAGTCAGCTAATGAGATATAGTGGTTAAGTTATTGGATTCGGTATTGAACTCTAGTTCATGTTTGATCTCATGTATGGAAGCTCATTGGGTGATTTTTGGCCCTGACATTGTTTCTCAGACCAACTTACCTCACATATTGTTGGGATAAAATGAAATGAAAGGCCTTTGTAGGCTGCCTTGAAATCCTGGGATTTCAAGGCAGCCTACATGGGATATAAATCTAGTAAATCATAGCAACCTAGATGATGGGTGTGGATGCTCACAAAATACTTTAATGTGGAGAATTGTGCCTTGAAGAAGTAAAGCATCCTTGCCTAGAATTTTACATGCTTCAGTTGAAATAATATTTTTCCCTGTAGATTTGGATCACCACATGCAAATTACATGCTTTCATTTGGTAACTCTTAAATGTACTAACTAAACTGTTTGTCTCTTCCATTTAATCTTTTACAATGGCTTTCATTTGTGGGTGCATTTATATTTTCTGATCAAAAAACTTCTACCTTGTTGTCTCAGATTATAGTGGCAAGAACTAAATTGTATGCCATGAGTATGAAGTTGGCTTGAACTTTTTGCCTTTTGTTTTGTTGCTATTGTAGTCTTGGATGCTTCTTGGCTGGGCATACCAACATGCAAAATAGGCATAACACTGAAATGGAAACTTCAGGAACTAATGGCTTGCAATTTTATGGATGGACTTAGGCCAAGCTTGGAAGGTTCAAAAGAAAACAAGTAATTTTCTGAAACTGTACATGCAAAGGGATCATTAACATGCAAGGCAGAAACTAGCTTTCTGCAAAACCTCATAAAAAATATAAGCATTCTC